CAACAGTCTCGTGCAGGCTGGCGGCGAGCTTCTTTGCGGCCAGCTCGGCCAGTTTCTTCGTTTCACCGGATTTTGCTCTCAGAATGTACGAGTGCTTCACCAGGCCCTTCTCCACGACGGGTGCATTCAGAGGCGTAAACGGGTGAGACTGCCAGATGCTTGACTCGGTAAAGCACAAATAGTAGTGCTGGCCGATCTTCCACGCATCCTGCTCGTTCTCCAAGTCCAACCTGACAATGTCACCGTGTTCCGCGTCGGGAAATCGCGTAATCAGCGCTTGGGCTGGCTTAAATCCCGCGTACGCCGATGAAGTAGGGTGGTAGTGCAGCAGGCCGGTCCTCACAAACCTGGCGCCTCTGTCAACACCCCATAGAATAAAGGCCGGGACCAGGAAGCACTCCAGCTTGTTCCAGTGTGCCCAGCACGCTCCAATGTATACCATGGCCAGAACGTAGTGCGCCTTGCGGAAGAATTCATATCCCGTGGCTCGGATCCCCCACGGCGTACAGAGGATGAACATGATGAGAAGCAGAATCATGGCCACAATGCCCCAGATGATGTACGGCTGCACGATCCACTCCAGACTAACTTTAGGCTGGGGCTGGTACAGATTCAACTGGATGATGAGCCATCCAATGGTGTGAAGAAGAGACTGGATGACAATGATGTAGCCTAGCCATCTGTGTAGAAAGTTGAAACTCTGGTACGGCACGCCCGTAAGGACGGAGAGTAGTGATTCTCTGCTGCTGAGCAGGATGGACAGCGGCGTGAGTGCGTAGGCGATTACTCCCACGCGATCGGACCAAGGGCCTAGACTCGTTCGCGTGTTGTACACCCCGGGCATGTTCTTCACGGGCGTGACCCAAGTCTTGTATGTGATGCCCAGGAAGCTCCATACGAAGAGATATCCGGACAAGAGAGCCAACACAGCCACCTGGAAGCGCGTTGTACGACCAAACAGAAAGTGATTTGCATCGCGTAACAAGAATCGCCTCGAGACAACAGCCGTCGTTTTCCGTAGTTTGCCAAAGGCGCCCTGGTCCGATTTTGAGTTTTGCAGTGCCCCTTGAACGGCCGGCCGGCCGGCTCTCCTCAGCAACACCCAGACGAAGATGACGCCAAATATCGTTGCCCAAAGGATCCCCATGTACAACATGCCCAGATCATGGGCAAGATACACAACGTCGAGATAGGCGCACGACCCCGCATCATTCTTGCAAGGGACCACGCGATCTGGATACCCCCAATGGGCCTGGGTGTCACCGCCCTCCGAGTGGTTCTGGATATGTCGCGGTTCTACCAACATGGCATAGACTGATAACCGGCAGCGGCGTCTGGTAGCAAAATGGAGGTTGTGATCAACGAGGGAACAAGAAAGAGAAGCGAAATGGAAGCCTGAGCAGAGACACAGTTATACTCTTTCCGAAATAAGCTTGAACCTGGTCGGGCCTGGACAGGGATATTTCCAAACTTATTGCCTCTCCCGCCCCCCCCTTGGAGAAACTGCATCAAACTCGCTCATAAAAGATCCAATCAAGGGTGACGAAAAGGTAACCAATTCTGCAGCAAGCCCAACGGCCGAGCAACAGGTTTGTTGAAGATCATCAAGGTTGTCGTGCATTCGCGGTTGAGCAGGAATGAGCAAGTTTTGCGGAGCTGCAGTGTGAGGATCATCAAGACTAGAGCGAATCAATTCATCTCAGATCCAAGGACCGGTGTCACTTGGCGTCGATATCGAATCTTGCCGGGGCCGTGAGTGCATTGACGACGGACTTGGCAAGTGGACTATTCTCTGTCCGGAATTGCAAACAAGCGCAGCGTAGTGTTAATTCTGCTCGTGGTTGAGAAGATTAGTCGCCTTCCGACAAGGCTGGCCTGATTGACTCGCCTCCGCCTTTAATTAATTGACGACGGCTCTTTCGACCAAGACATTTGCGCGCGCCATCTCTGTCGATATCTAGAATCTGAAATCATTAAAAACAAGTTCAATTTGTGCGCACACTCGTTGTCGACTCAATCCTCCATCGCCATCATCATCATGGACATGCACAGCGGCCACGGCGGCGACGACGGCTCGTCGTGCAAAATATCTGTACGAATAGCCACACCAAGCCCTCGGCAGGTCGTCTCGTCAAGCTAACAAGCCGAATCAGATGCTCTGGAACTGGTACACCATAGACGCCTGCTTCCTCTCGCCAAACTGGCACATCACAACGCAGGGCATGTTCGCGGCCACTTGCATCGGCGTCATCCTGCTCGTCATGCTCGTCGAGTTCTTCCGCCGCCTCGGCAAGGAATACGACGCCTTCCTCATGCGCCAGTTCCAGCGCGAATCAGCCCGCCGATACGTCGACGGCACCAGTTTCGGGCCGCAAGTCATTACATTCCGGGCGACGTTCCTCCAGCAACTGACGAAGTCGGTCCTGCACGCCTTGACGTTTGGCAGCGCCTACATTGTCATGTTGCTCGCCATGTACTTCAACGGCTATGTGATTATCTGCATCTTTATCGGCGCGGGACTGGGCAAGTTTGTTTGTGACTGGTTGGAGGTGAAGATGGATGTGGATGGCGGAAAGGAGGACAAGCAGATTCGCGGCATCGAGGAGCCGAGCGTGTGCTGCGGTTAAAAGCAAGATGGGGTGATTGGTAGTTACTGCATAGTAATAGCGATTGAGGGCCAATTTCGCTCAACTTTAATGAGAATGTGTCTCGGATAGCAATCAAGAGACAGGAATTGTGTTGCCATGTTTTTGCACCCGACTTGGTAGGACAAGCGATGATGTGGGATCCATGGAAAAAACCATTCCATGCAGCCTGCTACAAGCAATATAAGCTAAAATAATTCGCTTCGGAATATCCGCGGCCATAGATTAGCTGGGAGATCGTCAGACTGAAGCCTTACTTCAATCCTACGGATGCCTATCTGAAGGTCGTGTGTTCGAGTCACACTGGCCGCAATTTTTTTGATTAATTTTTTTTGATCCAGTACTTCGGGATATTCCGGGTGTGGATATGCAAGCAGCCAGCGAAGTTGTCACACTTTAGAGGGCACCAATTGTAACGATAATGTATATATACAAGTCCATGTCTAGCTAGAGAATCGTATGCGCCCTTTTTATAAGTGCGCTTATCATTGGGGTTAACCACTCGTGGTTGAGGGTTTGCCCTTATCTGATTATGCGTACGTAATTGGTACCCGTAACAAGTGACCCATTTTGACAGAAGTGATACCTAAGCTCTCTGACCTTGGTTATAGTTGTTCGAAGCACTTTGTCTTCTTTTTGGAGAGGGGAATATCTGAGAGACACCTTCTACACTTCATACGAAATTCTCAGAGAATGGGACTATTTTGGCGGCATTCAATGTATCTTCGCCGAGACCCAGTAACCTAAGATATCCCGGAATACGTACACGGTGCTGACGATAGCGCCAAGGGCTCTGCAGGCTGCAGGAACAGGCTGATGTAGATCTGGCACGTCTCAAGTGGTCGCTGTCGTCGTTTTGCTCGTTCTGCTCGAGTAGGTGATGGAAAACATCTCTTGTGGACTTGGTGTCACATATCGGACTTTTCAAGTGCAAAAGACGTTGTGGCAAATAGAATAGACTGTCAGAGTCGGTATCTAAGCGAACCCTGCTGCCTATTTGCTCATTCACCCTTATGTTCCGTTTAATGATCTTCACCGGTGGGCGTTTATGAACCTTTTCTGGTTCGTAGAAAGGCTGCATTAGGAATTTCAGCAGAAAGTGATTCTAGTTCTGGGGGTGTTCTCTTAAGCGGACGGGAGGTTGATCTAGTGACTCGAGGTCACCTGCAAGCCTGTCTTCTCCAAGTATGACTCCAGGAGCATTATCTGAGAAAGACTCCCGCGAAACATCGGAAATGGTCTCTCGCTCCCGGCTCTTGCGTAGAACCGGCAGAGGATCGACAAGCAAAACTACTGTTCCATGTGAGTAGGCGTTCCTTCGTCCAGGATGACAGAAGTTACCTAATTGACAAACGCTAACGGGCATCTTTCGGGTCCAAACAGATACGCGTTCCTCTCACCCACAGAGTCTTTTGCTACGTGAGGTCGTCCTTGGATCCGTCCAAAGGTCCCATTTCGATCGAAATATATTTATTTCTGTTCAAAACTCTCCCTTCACCAGACTTTGCTGTGGCGTACTCCAAACGGTTGTTAGACAGCAAGTCAATCAGGTCCTGCTTTGAATATGGAGCAGTAGGTAGTCTCCAGACAGGCCGGTACCACTTGATACACGTGTAGGGTTTTTGCAAGCCAGAGGTTGTCCGAGAACTAGCCGGTGGATCGCTGTATTCTGCGCTTGTATATCCAGAGTTGATGAGATGTTCTTCGAAAAAATCAGGATTGATCCCCAGGTGTGACCCGAGATACTCAATTGTAGGCAAGCTTAGGTCTTCAACAATGAATAGTCTGTGTGTAACGTTTGTTGGAATAGATTGACACAACTTTGCAAACTTGTTGGGTTTTCCAATGCGGATTACTTTGGGGTGAGAAGCATTTGCGAAATCTGCATAGCTAATATTGAGCTTCTGATGGCGGGAATCTGAGTCGGCGCGTTTGCCCAGATGACCAAACACTTCGCCTGCTCCAGCAATCACTTCACCATAGCTGCTTTAAATTGTTTGTGCTGGAGCATCCTCCCCATCTTCAGACGGCAGCCTAGATTGGGATGAGGAAACTGACACCGCCGATTGATTCTGGGACTGGACGCGATTGCCAGGTTGATCGAGGCTTGGATCGGGATTGACACTTTCTTGCTGATAAGTCCGGTCGGATTTTGCCACTCTTCTACTCTTGACTCAAGACTTCGGATTGATCTTGGCGAGGTGTCCGAGGATCGTGATAGATCGTCAGGTGCGGTCGCGATGTGAAGGGACGACGTGATGCCATTGACCGAAGCAACCTGAGGAGCCGCGTGGCCAACGGGAACAGTACTCAGCTCTGGAGCCGATAAAGACCTAGCTCTGAGTGCCTGCCGACGGTCTTCAGGTCAAGCTGGCTTGGGTGTCCTTGGTCCCGAGGGGGGGGGGGGGGGTCACCACCCCCC